AAGTCTGGGTCAGAGAGCACTCAGACAAACAGCCTTACCAGCTGAGCCAATGTTAAAACTGCTCACCAGCCTTCCTCTCCTCTTCACTTGCGGCTTACCTATCTCAATGGAAGCCTTCCCTCTCAGCAGCAGTTTCAGGCACTCAATATTGTCTGTCAAGCAGCAGTAGTGCAGAGCTGTGCTGCCTTTCGCAGTCTGCTTATCCAGATTCCCACTGTGAAAACAGACCAGACGCTGGTGAGCAACACACACAACTGCAGAGAGCAGCTTTGATAAGCCAGACACCATTAAATATTAAAGGTAACAGCTCCTCAAGGTGAATTTGGTAATTCGCCGCAATAAAGAAGCTAGGAATATCCTTGTTCTCATGTTTACTGGGCTTATGTTCCTCTTTCGCTCTGATCAAACCTCACTTGGTAAGCAAAGCAGAGCTTATTTGGGTTTTTTTTCCTTAGTTTCAGAACTACTTGCCTGTTCTGAGTCAGGAAGTCAACGATGTGGAGAGACGTTCGATCTACCAGTCTGACTGCCAGATGAAGTGCTGTCTCCCCTTGTTCCTGAGAAGAAAACAAGCAAGGAGTGGGATTCATGTCAAAACCAATATATCAGCAGGGATACAAAACAATGTCCTTAATGCAATTGAACCGTACAGTGCAAACAGACTGCCTGCATATAATATTTTACATGATTGCCCTTTTGCATCAAAAGAGTTCCTAAAGAAAAGTCTGAAGAACACTTTCTTGTGCTAACAATACAGCTGTAAAATGTATCCATTATCTAAAAGAAACAGATAAATATAAATCATTTTTAACTGTAGCCCATAATTTTCCTAGTTATTATTATAGATGTATTTAGTCCTGGAATTCTGCTCTTCTGCTTTGCTATTAAAAAAGCAATTGCATAAAACGCACACTGGTATAGATGTACTTAATCATGTCAAATCAAATTATTTTTATAATGTTCTAGTACATTAATAACAGACTAGGATTTTACTGCTTAAACAAAATAAAATCAAACCATAAAAGAATGGGAAGTTTTTTAATTGAATGCACTTTTCCCCTTTCAAGCCTCAATTTATATAGCTGCGCAATCTGACTCAGAACTAAATAAACTACATGAAAGGGAAATGGTACACAATATGAATTGAGCACAACTGCTCTATTTTTTTAAATATAATAAAAGTCGTCTAATGACACCCTATATTTAGAGCATAAAGTAAAGTGGTGTGAGTTTCCAATTGATCACAATTAAAATGTTTAAATGTCCAGGTCTTTATGGAATATTAAAAGGTTACCAATGAAACCAATCTGATATCATTTGCTCTGTTGTCAAATTCAAGGAAACCGGTGTTGTAGCTTTTCAAATGTTTTTATTTCCAAATGTTTAAACGGAGAACGACTGATTCCGAGTTTTAATTTTGTTCAAGATAACTTCCAGGTTTAAAATTGCTCCCTCACAGCACGGGGGCCCTGGTTTCAACTCCTGGGGTGCTATCTGTGTGGCTGAATATCCTACCTGTGTTCCTGTAGGTTTCCTCCCACAGTACTAAAATATACTAGTAGGTTAGTTGGCTTCTGCGAGAATTGGCCCTGGTGTGAGTGTGAATGTGTTTGTGTTTGCCTGGCGAAGGGCTTATCCGGCCTTGTGCGCAATGCTTCATGGGATTGGCTCTAGGCCACTGTGACCCTGAACTGGATAAAGCAGTTATTGAAAGTGATGTAAGCTGACGTTCCAGTTTCTGTGCTGTTTTTGAGTGTTACCGATGACAGGACTCAATACACTTACAGTACATTAATAACTAGTTGCTGAAGAACATAAAAAGATTACAAAGGAGAAGAGGCCCTGCTAACTCATTTGGTAGTCAGTAGCTACTCGATCCAAAGATCTCATCCAGTCGTTTCCTGAAAGAAGTCGCGGCGGTCGACTTCCACAAAATGGCTGGGTAGCTTGTTCTGTAACTCTTTAGAAACAAAGTGACATCTCTGGAGACATATAGCCGACCGACCAAGATGTCCACAAAACGCAGGGGTATTCAAAACCCGATAGAACTCATGTTGAAGTCCACCGTCCTTCAGCGAAGAGAATTTACAACCTAACAGGGTGGGTTTCACCTCCTCCCTCAGAGCAAGAGATGAGGACTGAGCTGGGTGCCGTTTCCTCTCTCTACAGCCGACACGCAGAGCTGTTCCTCCCACAGCCTTGAGGCCGAGGAGCCTCTGGGAGCTGTGAAAGGCCATCTTAGCGACAGCAGGGCTTACGTGTCCATTTGCCAGTGGAATCGGCTCCATCAAGTCCACACCTTCAGCGTAGACCTGGACCAAAGCGAAAACGTCTCTGGCCTTCACGGCTTCACACAGGCTGTGCAGCTTCGCAGCGTTGTCGGCACACTTCTTGCGGGCAAACCTCCTTTCTGTGTACTTGGCGGTGATGTAGTCCTTCCGGGCCTGCCTGGAAGGGAGATCGGGGAGATTTAAATAAATAATAATAATAATAATTACCATGGCAATGGTAAAATCCACCCACACTCACAGGGCGTCTCATGTTCATTTGCAATTGACATTTAATTTGAGGTTTTTCCACTCGGACCTTGAACACGAAATGTATTCGGTGGCTTAAAGGTGACAGAAGTGAACAGAAGCTGCCGCCCCCCCCCAAACAAGGCCAGAGTGTCATTGAACTCATCCGGTATTTCACTGCTGATGAGTGTGACCTCCTCTTTATCGGACCCGAGCTGCTCCTCTTGCCTCCCAGTGGGAGACCTCCCACTTACATGTCGCTCGAGGGCGTGGGTTTGACGGTCTCCTCCACGGGCAGGCTGGCCTCCATGATCTCGTTGAAACCAGCGTTCCCAATGTTCTTGGCCAGCTGCACAAATGCAGAAACACGTCAGCCCTTAACTACCGGAAGCTGCCGAGATGACGCAGCGAACGGCAACAAGAAGAGGAAAAACATGATTTCAAAAGGTATTTTAATTTCAAAAAGGAAACCTGCTGTGTCCGATTTTAATATTTTTCAAGGCCTGACTAAATTTACAGTTGTATTCTGTGCACACCTGGATCTTTTGTTTTATTGTACAGTCCCTTGAGACAATGTGCCTTGAAAGTCTGTATACAGTACACACATGTATTAGTACCAACAGCAGAGCTTGGCACCCACATAGAACCGAATTAGATTTCTTCATTAACGAAACCCTCTCTCACCTCTCTGCGCCCGAGTCGGCAGTGGAAACGAGGATGAACCGGCCTGAATGAGCCACTCTGACATTTTATGTTATGTTTGTACTGCAACATCTGCATGCAGAGTCATGTCCTGCATAATCGAATTAATTTAATCCCGTACTGGAACCGTGAACTAAATTCCGACCGCGTTCTGATAAGGAATGACAGAAAGTCCGGACTTGTGTGCAGAGCACTCATATGGCTGTAATTCACTGAATCAAATCACCGGAATCCCCAAGTCACTGTACTATGCTAAAAAAAAACCATTGTGCCCTACACACCTACCCCCATTTCTCTGTCAAGTCTCAAACATGAAAAACAATGCGCATAAACAATGAGGCCAAGAGTTTCGGGCCAAGAGTTTAAGCATAAAACTTTGTTACTTTGTTACTGGTTTTGCGACGTGCTGTACAGAAGTGCACCTGCTGCTCATTACCAAGAGCTCAGATGTTCCCAAGACATCGAGGGTGAGAGACTGGATTCTGGAATAGTGGACACCCAGCTCCCTGTGAATTCCGGAACATTCAATACACGTCAGGATCCCCAGGTTTGTGGACAGCCATGTGGGATCTGGGAAGACACATTGGGAAATGTGAGACAGAGCTAAACGGGAGGAAGGTTAACACACGTCTTCCTGTTGCATGAGGAGAGCTGTTTATGAAGCGATCTAAATTTCACCTC